TAGCCCAGGGATTTTGTTCTTCTATGGAGGTCTTTAGGTCTACAACAGGTTGTATGGTAATCAGTTTGTCAAGTCTCTTCAAGAAGACAGTCCTCCTAGCCCGTAAGGCAGGAGAGGACATGATTTGAAGCCACGGTCTGATAGAGTGGACAAAGCAGAGGAAGTCAATAGTTTTTCAGCCTCAACATCGTGTTCACAGACAATAATGAAGGCTTCTTGGAGTGAGAGGATGGTATTAATCTTGACCTGCAGACCCCTGACTGCCACAGCAAGGGCAAGCTTGGAGTCATTAATCGTACCACTGGATGGTTTTATCTTGACTCTGTTGGAGAAGCTCATCTTGAAAGAGGTTGACGAAAGAAGGGCACCTGAACGAAAAGGAGAGAAGGATGGGTATATATAGGCAGGAGGTAGTAGTAGTAGTAGTGGAGGGAAGGAAGTAGTAGTGGGAAGGTAGTAAGAGTAGGAGGGGCCAGTCAAATACTAAGAAAGAGGAGCACTGCAAGGGAGCTGGTGTCCACAAGGAAGCTAGGTGCCCACAGAGGGTAAAAGCAAGAACACCGAGGGGGGAGGAACAAAAAATAAATAAAGAAGGAACAAATACACAGGGCAGAAGAAAGACAACCCAAAGGAGAAAGAGGAAAGGGGAAGAGGGAAAAGAAGAAAATGAGGAATCAGGTTAAGTCAGGAGTGTTGTGAAGTTTGGAACATTTTACAATGTAGTGGGAGAGAAAGACATCTACAGAGACGAAGCCACGACTAAGATTCATACAAGGAAAGTTGTGTATTAGGGAGGATTCAACCAGACGGTGACTGTTAAAGTTGGAAGTAGGGAAGACAGTTTTAGCAGAAGACCAGTCAATAGGATGGCTGTGATCTCTGACGTGACAGAAAAGAGCATTGCCAGTGTCGGCAAGCTTAACACTATTTTTGTGCTCCCTAAGTCTGTCAGAAAGAGATCAGCCAGTTTCTCCAAAGTATTGAAGAGGACAGGAGGAGCAAAAAATAGAGTAGACACCAGGAACATCTGTAGAGGGAGGAGAGGTATGAACGAGATTAGTGCGAAGAGTGTTAGTCTGGCGGAAAGTAAGTTTGATGTCTAAGGAACGGAGAGAATTGTTGAGATTAGAAAGATCGGAAATGTAGGGAAGGCAGAGGACAGAAGAGTTCCCAGGGGTAGAGAGTTTGGGAGAGAAGAAATTACGTTTAGCACGTGAGAGGGCAGAGTTTATGAAATGGGAAGGGTAGCCAAGACGGGAAAATGAATTATGAAGAGTGGATATTTCTGATTGAAGGAACTGAGGATCACATATGCAGAGAGCACGGAGAAAAAGAGAGATAAGAATACTTTTCTTGACAGAGGAAGCATGATAAGAAAAGTAGTGAATGTACATGCCACTGTGCATAGGCTTTCGGTAAACGGAAAAGGCGAAACCTGTATCTGAGCGGTGGGCATGAATATCAAGAAAAAAAAGCAAGGAATTAGATTCCCATTCAGCTTTAAACTTAATGGAAGGGGCAAGATTATTAAGAGCATTAAGATATGGTTGGAAGAGACAAAAGTCATGAAGCCACAGAGCAAAGATGTCATCAACATAGCGGAGCCAGAGTGAAGGTTGCACATCGATAGCAGGAAGAAGAACAGTCTCGAAGTATTCCATGTAAAGATTAGCAAGGACAGGAGAGAGAGGAGAGCCCATAGCGACACCGAAGGTCTGAGAATAATATTTCCCTTGGAAGGAAAAGGAATTAGAGTTCACACAGAGGCGGATAAGATCAAGAAAGACATCAGTAGGTATAGGGAGATGAAGGAACCTTTCATTGGCCTTCTAAGAAAATCAAGGACATCATCAAGAGGGACATTGGTGAAGAGGGACTCAACGTCAAGACTAAGCATCTTACAGGTTGGGAAAGGGCGGACCCGTTCAATGAAGTCTTGAGAGTGACGGAGGCGGGCAGGAGAAAAAGTACCAAGAAAGGGAGTGTGGGTTTTGACCAGCCAAAAAGCAAGAGAATAAGAGACAGCCTCTAGAGGATATGATAGGACGTAGAGGAATATCAGGTTTATGGGTTTCGGGAAGGCCATAGAAATAGGGTAGAGAGGGACAGATGACACGAAAACGTTGAACAAGGTCAAAGTCAGGAGGACAGAGGTCGGAGAGAGTCCTTAGTTTCTTGTTAAAAGTTCTCTTGATGCAATCACGAGGGTTGGAAACTAGAGGAGTGTAGGTACGTGAGTCACAGAGCAAGACATCCTCTTTACGGAGGTAATCCTCGCGATCAAGGATAACTACCGGTGTTGGATTTAATAAGAGAAGAAAGGGCAAGTTGGTAGCGGCGCGGAAGGTGGTGGTTCGTAGAAAACAGACTATCAAGAGCAGGAAGGAGAGCGCCACGAAGATTACGGGAGCGAGACTGACGAAAAGAATCAAAAGAGCTAATCAGGGCAATACCAGCGCGAGGGGCAGGTGAAGTGGCAAAGTAAAGATCAAAACCCGGTGGCCTGGTGGCTAAAGCTCCCGCTTCACACACGGAGGGCCCGGGTTCGATTCCCGGCGGGTGGAAATTCCGACACGTTTCCTTACACCTATTGTCCTGTTCACCTAGCAGCAAATAGGTACCTGGGTGTTAGTCGACTGGTGTGGGTCGCATCCTGGGGGACAAGATTAAGGACCCCAATGGAAATAAGTTAGACAGTCCTCGATGACGCACTGACTTTCTTGGGTTATCCTGGGTGGCTAACCCTCCGGGGTTAAAAATCCGAACGAAATCTTATCTTATCTCTTATCTTAACCAGGAAGTACAGGCTCATAAGAACGATGCATTCTCAATCTCAGACTACCCTTTCTGTTTCTCCAGTCTACCCCACGAGCGCCTAGCTGCTGGGTCAGGCCGATGGCACTTTCTCAACTACTGTGGACACTACCCCTCAAGGAAGGTTCCTTGATGTTGGTGAGGGGCTCTTGATTTAGGGAATTGGATTTGTGCTCCAGTTCCCCGAATTAAGCCTGAATGCCTTCTACATCCCCCCCCCCCAGGCGCTGTATAATCCTCTGGGTTTAGCGCTTTCCCCTTGATTATAATAATAATAATAATGTGGACACTCGTCGCCTGTCCCATCTTCCCCCGCTCACCGCAAAGGGGTCTTACCTAAACTCTCTCTTGTCTCTCCCAATGGAATACTCTTATGAGAGAAAACGTAGTGTAGCACAGGGCTAACTAAAAAAAAAAAAAAAAAAAAAAATTCTCGATTTTTTTTCCCGATGCGCGTGAGTTTCCGTTGATTATCTTTGAAGTAATTTTTTTTTATTTATTTCTTGATTGGGTGTCATTAATAATGATCGGACTGCGATTAATTTCACAAAGAACATGAAAGAATGATTTTTTTTACAAACTAGTGAATTTATTTTTTGAAACCACATTTTTTTATTTGTGTGTGGGTAAAAGGTAGATATTTTGCTGTACAAGAATGGTATACAATACCGACAAGATGAACTTAAGACGCATGTGCAACATCTGGGTATCTTTAGGTGGCCCGGTGGCCTGGTGGCTAAAGCTCCCGCTTCACACACGGAGGGCCCGGGTTCGATTCCCGGCGGGTGGAAACATTTCGACACGTTTCCTTACACCTGTTGTCCTGTTCACCTAGCAGCAAATAGGTACCTGGGTGTTAGTCGACTGGTGTGGGTCGCATCTTGGAGGACAAGATTAAGAACCCCAATGGAAATAAGTTAGACAGTCCTCGATGACGCACTGACTTTCTTGGGTTATCCTGGGTGGCTAACCCCCGGGGTTAAAAATCCGAACGAAATCTTATCTTATCTTATTGTAGACGTTTCGCCATCCAGTGGCTTTATCAATACAAATTCCAGGACATAACTTGAAGACAGTAGAACTGTGTACAGAAGATGAGGTAATCAGTCCCTCAACCTTGGAGTAGGTGCGAAGAGCACCGTAGTCGTGGAGATTCTGAAGCAGAAGCAAGGCGCCTGACGGTTATGTACTAACGTCAGGTGGAAATGGGACGGGTAGCAGACGAGGGCATAGTAACTGGTAGGCGGGATTCCCCAGTGGAAGTAGGTCCTACCCAAAGAGACGGGTTAGTTGTAGTAGTAGTTGTCGTAGTTGTCGTAGTACATGTCCTTAGACATGTAAATTACCATGCAAATTAAACATGGGAATTACCAATAGACCTCTGGCTGCCTTCAAGAGAGAGCTGGACTGTTACCTAAAGTCAGTACCTGACCAGCCGGGCTGTGGTTCGTACGTTGGACTACTTGCGGTCAGCAGTAACAACCTGGTTGATCATGCCTTGATCCGCCAAGAAACCTAGTCGAGGATTTGACTGCGGAGGCGTTGACCCTGAGAACACTCTTCCTGAGAGTTTTGGAAAACTGACAAAGATCCATTGTGACCTCTGTATAACTGTCCTCTTGTGCTACCACTCACAGGATCAGCATCTACCTGGAGAGGATGCATAATAAACTAGCCGCTCAGGAGGCACAACGAACTTTGGTAAGTAGGCACGTGAACATTCCAGTGGTTCAAAGAACCGGTCCTTATTACCATACACAAACGCTGAAAATTTGAAGATGATTGGACAAGGCATTCTCTAGTTACGAACGAAATCAAAACGAAAAGTTGGAGGATAAAAGAAATTAAGGCAACCTTTTACAGGCCTCCCTTGGGATACCTAAATCAAGCAACAGCATTGGAATCTTGGTTCCCTTGCTCCAATACATCTTCGGCTTAGAGAACTAAGAGTGTTGGCACTCTGTTCAGTCCGTGTAGTAATCTAAATTAACTCTAAAAAAGACTCAAGCTAATGTAATCGCAATTTTCTTCCTCGTGACAAACAAGAAAGTTTACCAACCTCTTAGCCTGGCTTGAAGCATATCTTTGAATGAACAGGTTAGAAGTACAGTAACTTCCGTAAACATAACTTTAGTTATAAAATTATAAAAAAATTATAAATTTATATTTATGCTTCAGACCTCGCACTAGTTGTCTAGAGGAGCCAAAACTACCGACGTATGTATTTACAGCATTTTCATATAAATACACAAGTAAAGAAGCAATGTATGTGTGTGAATCTGCAACAGCAACAGCTTCTTCCTATATCTTCAACAAGAGAGAAAAAATCGGGATCCTTTCACTATAGATTGTGCAAAATTGGTTTTTAGTGTAACCATGGATAGCTAGGATGAGTGTCACACGTTAAATCGGCCTATCCAGGCCGATTCATAACAAGCCGTGTTTACAACTGAGAAATATACTAGACCCAAAACTCGCAGCAGCTGAGTTATGCCTTCCCTCTTTCTCTCCCTTTCATGACTCTCCTCTCACAAAACCTCTCTCTCATCATCCAGGCTCAACCCCAGAAAGGACGTTTTCTTTCCTAAAGCTATGCCAAACGTTCTGCACTTACTATACTCCCAATTATTTTGCAGGAAGAGAGGCAGGTCTATGTGTCAGTGCTCACCTGAATTGCCCTGGCACTTGCCAACTCTGTTGAGTGTGTATTTGGTGTCGGTTCTGTTGATCAGTATGTAGCCGTAAGTAGCGTACAATGTATTATCGTTCACGTCCACCATCAGTATCTGTGGAGGTTGCAGATTGGATATGAAGAAAGGGAAACTCGGAAATAGGTAAGATAACTGGAAACTGGTCGAAGATCATTTCATTGTATTGATATGACCTACGCTTTGACTACATAGGTCATTCAGCTATATATACATATATATATATATATATATATATATATATATATATATATATGTATAGGTCATATATATAGATCATATATATATATATATATATATATATATATATATATTATATATATATATATATATATATATATACATATATATATATATATATATATATGTATAGGTCATATATATATATATATATATATATATATATATATATATATATATATATATATATATATATATATATATATATATATATATATGTCGTGCCGAATAGTCAGAACTTGCGATCTTGGCTTAAATAGCAACGCTCATCTTGCCATATAGGACAAGCGAAAATTTGTGTGTGCAATAATTTCGCCCAAATCATTCTGAACCTAACGAAAAAAATATATTTCACTGTGTTTGTATAGTATTAAATTATTGTAAGCAAATCTAAAATATATTTAGTTGGGTTAGGCTAAAATAAATTTTTCTTGTTATAATAAGGTTAGGTAAGTTTTCTAAGATTCTTTTGGTGCAAAATTATAAATTTTTACATTAACATTAATGAAAAAAATATATCTTTAAACGTATAAGAGAAAATTTCAGAAAGGAATTAATTTTAAATGAGTTCTTGCTAATTGACCAGTTTTACATATTCGGCACGACATATATATATATATATATATATATATATATATTATATATATATATATATATATATATATATATAATATATATATATATATATATATATATATATATATAACAACTCAGGAAAAATAATGATAAACTTGAAGATTGAGACACTTATGCAACATATGGGAATTTTTATTGAAGAAACATTTCGCCTCACAGTGGCTTCATCAGTCCAATACATAAGTGTCTCAATCTTCAAATTATCAGTTTTCAAAACAATTTACCACAATGATAAAATTAACAAACAGTAAACCTATTAAAATTAATAAAACATCCTATGAAATAATGTTTTAAAAGTATTTTAAAACATTATTGGGAACAGTATTCCGAGGTCTCTACAAGCGATTCAACAATTATACAAACTGATGAAAGCGTGAAGACCTAACTAAGCATTAGGTCAGTCAGAGAGAGAGACAAAGATACCTGGAACATGAAATTTATTGCAAAAGGAAAAGTTGTGACGTATGTAGAGACGTGGTCATATACTGACCCCTGAAAACATATAGGGCAGAATATTGTTTAGAAATGGAAAACTGACTTTTTTAAATTTCCAGCCTTTCTCTATCTCTGTATTATCTAATCTCCTTACCATTCTTTTTTCCTAAATTAATATGTATGTTTTTAATAATCTAATAAAACTTGCTACTGCCTGTTTTCTACAGTACATATTCACTCAGGACTATTATTAACTTAATCCGTTTACATATAGTATATATATATATATATATATATATATATATATATATATATATATATATATATATATATATATAATATATATATATATATATATATATATATATATATATATATATATGCAAAACAACCACTCTGAAAGAATAGAGAAATTCCAAGCGCTTTCGTGACTACTCACATTATCAAGGAACTATGAAAGTAAAGCATCCAAGGAAGCTATATAAGGGGTCTGGCCAGCACCTCACTATCAGATCCCACAACGGTTAAACACGTGACGCGCGGCGACCCAACTTGGATAGGTCCTTTGCACAACTCACCCACAAACTATTCTACCCAAGAAAATTTAAAAATTATTATTTGTCCAGTGTATTACTAAATTCTTCCCAAATTCTATTAATTATAAATGGATCTAATTTATATAAACCAAAGGAAATATTCATATTATTGTCAAAACTGCTTTTTATGAAACAAGATTCAATTATATTCCTGTCGACCATGGACTTGCTTGATACTACTTTCTCAACTTTTTGAAGATCAATTGGATGGTTAAAATTTCTTACATGAATAAATAGAGCATTGGAATCTTGTCCAGTTCTAATGCTTTATTTATGTTTTAATATAAGTTCGAGATTTTTACCAGTTTGACCGTAATAAACTTTATCGCAAATTTTACAAGGAATCTTATAGACACATCCATCAGCATTTTGGGGGGAATTCTTTATCAAAAGTTTTTTTTACTGTATCAAGATTTTTGAATACAACTTTAATATTAAAAGTCTTAAGAAGAGAAGGCATATCAACCAAGTTTTCATGGTAAGGGAGAACCAACATTTTTAGTTGAATAAGGCTGGTTGTCCCTTTTTGGATTGTAAAAAGTATTTCTAGCAACTTTAAAAGATTTATCAATTACATTTCTTGGGTAATTTAAATCATTACCTATTTCATAAATTTTGGATATTTCCTCGTCTATGAACTCAGGACTACAAATTCGTAAAGCTCTCAAAAAATACTCAAAATACCCAAGAAATGTAATTGATAAATTTTTTAAAGTTGCTAGAAATACTTTTTACAATCCAAAAAGGGACAACCAGCCTTATTCAACTAAAAATATGTTGGTTCTCCCTTACCATGAAAAATTGGTTGATATGCCTTCTCTTCTTAAGACTTTTAATATTAAAGTTGTATTCAAAAATCTTGATACAGTAAAAAAACTTTTGATAAAGAATTCCCCCCAAAATGCGCGCGTCAGGTGTTTAACCGTTGTGGGATCTGATAGTGAAGTGCTGGCCAGACCCCTTATATAGCTTCCTTGGATGCTTCACTTTCATAGTTCCTTGATAATGTGAGTAGTCACGAAAGCGCTTGGAATTTCTCTATTCTTTCAGAGTTGTTGTTTTGCATATTCTGAAATCACCTGTTTACTGTGATCTTATTGCATATATATATACCTGGAGGTTACCTGGAGGTTATTCCGGGGATCAACGCCCCCGCGGCCCGGTCCATGACCAGGCCTCCCGATGGATCAGGGCCTGATCAACTAGGCTATTACTGCTGGCCGCACGCAGTCCAACGTACGAGCCACAGCCCGGCTGATCCGGCACTGACTTTAGGTATCTGTCCAGCTCTCTCTTGAAGGCAGCCAGGGGTTTATTGGCAATTCCCCTAATGCTTGATGGGAGGCTGTTGAACAGTTTTGGGCCCCGGACACTTATGGTGTTTTCTCTCAGTGTACCAATGGCGCCCCTACATTTTATTGGGGGCATTTTGCATCGCCTGCCCAGTCTTTTACTTTCGTAGGGAGTGATTTTCTGTGTGCAGATTTGGGACCATTCCTTCCAAGATTTTCCAAGTGTAGATTATGATATATCTCTCCCTCCTGCGTTCCAACGAGTACAAGTTAAGTGCTTCCAAGCGTTCCCAGTAGTTAAGGTGCTTGACAGAACTTATACGTGCAGTAAAGGATCTCTGTACACTCTCTAGATCTGCGATTTCACCTGCTTTGAATGGAGATGTTAATGTACAGCAGTATTCCAGCCTAGAGAGAACAAGTGATTTGAAAAGGATCATCATGGGCTTGGCATCTCTCGTTTTGAAAGTTCTCATTATCCATCCTATCATTTTCTTTGCACGTGCGATCGTGGCACTGTTGTGATCCGTGAAAGTGAGATCCTCAGACATTACTACTCCCAGGTCCCTTACATTATTTTTCCGCTCTATTGTATGGCCGGAGTCAGTAGTATACTCTGTTCTAGTTATTATCTCCTCCAGTTTTCCATAACGGAGTAGTTGGAATTTGTCCTCATTGAACATCATATTGTTTACCGTTGCCCACTGGAAAACTTTGTTTATATCTTCTTGGAGGTTAACCGCGTCCTCAGCAGATGACAGCCTCATGCAGATCCTAGTATCATCCGCAAAGAATGATACGGTGCTGTGGTGTATATCTCTGTTTATGTCTGATATGAGGATAAGGAATAAGATGGGGGCGAGTACTGTGCCTTGTGGAACAGAGCTCTTCACTATGGCAGCCTCCGATTTAACTCTGTTGACCACTACTCTTTGTGTTCGATTTGTTAGGAAGTTGAAGATCCATCTCCCCACTTTCCCAGTTATTTCCTTTAGCACGTATTTTATGGGCTATTACGCCATGATCGCATTGTCAAATGCTTTTGCAAAGTCTGTGTATATTACATCTGCATCTGATTTTCTTCCAGTGCATCCAAGGCCATGTCATAGTGCTCCAGTAGTTGTGAGAGGCAGGAGCGACCTGCCCTGATATATATATATATATATATATATATATATATATATTATATATATATATATATATATATATATATATATATATATATATATATATATATATAATATATATATATATATATATATATATATAATATATATATATATATATATGTATATATATATATATGTATATATATATATATATATATAATATATATATATATTATATATATATATATATATATATATATATATATATATATATGCAATAAGATCACAGTAAACAGGTGATTTCAAACTATGCAAAAACAACCACTGTGAAAGAGTAGTGAAATTCAAAGCACTTTTGTGATTTTTCACATTATCAAGGAACTATAATGTGAGATGTCACGAAAGCGCTTGGAATTTCACTACTCTTTCACAGTGGTTGTTTTGCATTATATATATATATATTATATATATATATATATATATATATATATATATATATATATATATATATATATATATATATATATATATATATATACATATATATATATATATATATATATATATATATATATATATATATATATATATATATATATATATATATATATATATAATTTAAAGACAAAATACATTGACAAAACTTTCACAAACAAACAATAGAAAGTAAAACAACATAGGTAACTCAGAGCTACATCTCGAATACTTCGTCCAGCTCCCTGGCATTGGGCCACGTGCCCAGAATGCTGCAGGCATTTCCTCTCTGGATC